ATGTGGAAAAGGCTTCTCCCAGAATTCGGACCTCAGTATACATCAGAAAACTCATACTGGAGAGAAACACTATGAATGCAGTGAATGTGGAAAAGCTTTCACAAGAAAATCAGCACTCAGGATGCATCAGAGAATTCACACAGGAGAGAAACCTTATGTATGCACTGAATGTGGGAAGGCCTTCATCCAGAAATCACACTTCAATACACATCAGAGAATTCACACTGGAGAAAAGCCTTATGAATGCAGTGACTGTGGGAAAACATTCACTAAGAAGTCACAACTCCATGTGCATCAAAGAATTCACACAGGAGAAAAACCCTATATATGTACAGAATGCGGAAAGGTCTTCACTCATAGGACGAATCTCACTACACATCAGAAAACTCATACTGGGGAGAAACCTTATATGTGTGCTGAGTGTGGGAAGGCATTTACTGATCAGTCAAATCTCATTAAACACCAGAAAACTCATACTGGAGAGAAACCCTATAAATGCAATGGCTGTGGAAAAGCCTTCATATGGAAGTCACGTCTCAAGATACATCAAAAATCTCATATTGGAGAGCGACACTATGAATGCAAGGAATGTGGAAAAGCCTTTATCCAAAAGTCAACACTAAGTGTGCATCAGAGAATCCATACAGGAGAGAAACCCTACGTTTGTCCTGAATGTGGGAAGGCCTTTATCCAGAAATCACACTTCATTGCACATCATAGAATTCATACTGGAGAAAAGCCTTATGAATGCAGTGACTGTGGTAAATGCTTCACAAAGAAGTCACAACTCCGTGTGCATCAGAAAATCCACACAGGTGAGAAGCCCAATATATGTGCAGAATGTGGAAAGGCCTTCACTGACCGGTCAAATCTCATAACACACCAGAAAATCCATACTAGGGAGAAACCCTATAAATGCAGTGACTGTGGAAAAACCTTCACCTGGAAGTCACGCCTCAATATACATCAGAAATCCCATACTGGAGAGAGGCACTATGAATGCAGTAAATGCGGGAAAGCTTTCATCCAGAAAGCAACACTAAGTATGCATCAGATAATTCATACAGGGAAGAAACCTTATGCTTGTACAGAATGTCAGAAGGCCTTCACCGACAGATCGAATCTCATTAAACACCAGAAAACGCATAGTGGAGAAAAACACTATAAAGCCAGTGACTGAAAAAGCCTTCACCTGGAAATGACAACTAGGTATGAATCAGATATCTCCTAGTGGGGGAGAGGAATGCCTGATGCTGCAATCATTGTGCAGGGAAAAGTAGACATGAGAGACTGGCTTGAGTGAACAGAAGACAAAAAGAATGAAGTATCCATCGGTTCACTGGAAATAGAAGTTCCTGCATCACCACAGTCGATATGCAATTATATGCATAGGGAGATCCTTTAGATAAAGCACTGGAGCAGTAGTCATGTTTGGTTACGTGATTGATACAGGGACTCTCGAGGTCCTGCAAATGATAGAAATAATGACCCGAGGAGATAACTTGTCATCTCTTATGTTTCACTTTTTGGATAAATAACTTTATAAATTCAGCATTGATTAGTTCATCATACTCTGGGACATAAAAGTACTCAATACTAGCCAATTTTTTTCAAATTTCTAGGTTGGGAAGAAGAGTTTTCATTGTCCAAACACTTGCAGGGTACTGACATCAAGGCAAAAAAACCTATTTGGGAATGCAGATCTGTGA